CTACTAGTAAGGCACTTGTCTCTACTAGCGTGGCACTTGTTTCTACTGGTAGTAGCTTCTTGTTACTAGGACTGGAGATGGACGGATCCCTGGAGTAAAAGGAAACCCCTCCCTGAGAACACGCCGATGTCGCTGATAGGTCGATCTTCTTGGACATGTTCTGAACTGCTCGGCCCTAGTAGCAGTCCTGCGTCCTCCGAACTACCCGGACTCGATCCATGGTAGACTTCGCTCCCCCAAGCTCATGCGCTCCTATTATGAAGTCGCGTTTCCGAGGCGCCCCCCCGATGTCCGAAAACGCAGCAACAGCATCTCAATTCTCAGGTTGCATCCTTGGCACGTAGGAGCCGCGCTTCATGGACCCTGCTTGCTGATAACTCAGCGAAGCCAACTTTTCGACCTGCTCAAAGTTGAAGTCCATCTCCACAGCCATGGCCAACGCTGGGGGGCCAAGTGGCACTTCGGATGGAGCGAGCAGATCGAAGGCAAATCGAAGTGGAAACACCGAGGCCGCTGGGATCTGCTGGGCCAAAAATGGCTCGGCGGACGATCCTAGATGAGTTTGATGTCATCTGATTCCTCTATACAAGGGTCTGAAGACCTAATTATATAGAATCAATTAGAATCACGCGCTTGATTGAAACGTCAAATGGAACTACTCCGAACAGAACTAAGAGTTTCACATTCTGGTCCATCTGGCCAATCCTTGCCACATTGGCAGTCACGCCCCCCGTTTTTCAACCAGCCACGACGACTTTCACGCGAAAAGAACGAAACAAAGCGCCGGCGTTTTCGCCGTCGGGTTCACCTCGTTCTCAACGGCAGGATCTTCTGGGGTCCCTGGCCTCCGCCCCTTCTCGCAAACGCACGTGGGGCCTGCGATGGGGGTCGTCGCCCCGCGGCCTGCCATCCGGAAACGCCCGCATCCGGAGGGAAAACAACAGCTGGGCTCAAGGAAAGGAAGAAAAGGATCAGTTTTTGCTCATTTTGCTCATCCTGTACATCTTAAATCCTTCTTTTCACCACTAGTCAAGGCCATGGTCACCCCTCACCCATCACGCGCACAATTGCATGCACTTGCACCAAAACAAATACCACATCGCAGGGGTCCATCCAGCACCTCTCGCCTGTACCCTGTGCCGGGCGTCCACAGGCGCCGCACTTGGCCCAGCGGAGTGCGCCATCGCATGGGTCCCACGGCGTCCGGATGCGTCCGGTGCGTGCGAAGATCTGCCGTTTGGGTGGTCAAGGATCGACGTTCGGTGGGAGTTTTTCATGCAGCGCTGAACCGCGGGCAAGGTCGCCATCCCAAGGTTTTTGATTAAGGACAGACGTGGAGTTTCTTGTCCACATTGGAGGTGAGGGGTCTTTGATATTCCGGCTGGGCTCCAATAGTCACTTGTTCATCGCCCTGGTTGATTCAAAAAGCATCATTGTTATGGCTAACTAGCACATAACCAGCGCCCTTTTCTTGGCGGGATTGCTGGCATGATCGAAGCCATCATACAGAGGGTATAAGTTCTTCTCCGTTCAGAAGACCCAAGCCGAAGCAGCTGCAAATATGGATTCATCGAAGGTGTTGACCCACTCCAAAGCCCAACACATGGCCAACAAAGGCCCAAGCGTTCTCACTGATTGGGGTTTCTGATCTCCAATCAAATTCTCCTTCCCCCACGACCAAATCTCACTTCTTCTTGAGGCTGAATGGTGGCAGGTCCAGACTCTTCTATAAATCGACCCCCAGCCCCCCCCAAAATGCTGAAACTGGCGGTGTGGGCCACCAGTTTCAGAACAAAAAGATCGCATTCTATAGAGCTCCGCATCCGTGCTTTTGATTCGGCCCAGAAGAGCCCAGAACCCACCTGGCTCGGGTAGCCACGCGGCTGCACTGCAGGCACTGCTCAGCACTGTGGCGCCCCGCAGCTCCGGACAACGCTCCCGGAGCTCCTTGGGGCGCAATGGGGGACCAAGGTCTCAATAGAGTGACGTTGATGTGAATCTGCATGGAAAAAGGCGATGGAATTGGCCAATGGCCATTGGATGTGGCTACTAGTAACAAGGGCATCGCTACTAGTAACAAGTGCCTTACTAGTAGTAACAAGAAGCTAGTAGAAACAATAAGTAAATAGACTTTAATTAGAATTAAGTGTGGTCTGCAGCCAGGTTGGGTCGCTGGCTCCAACTCCGACCGGAGAACGACCCGACGGTCCGCCCGATGTGGGTCCTCGGCCACGGGCATTAACTCCTCCTTGAGCTCGGTGCGCACCAAGCTCGACAACAGCACCACGAGGTCTTGAGCCTTGGGGGATGAGGCTTTGGACAAGTGCGATGGCGATGGCATAGGGAGGCCTTTCCAGTGCTTTTCCAGTGCAGTGATGGCATAGGAATGGCATTGCGATGCAAAGATCTGCTTCGACATGAGGCGTGGCTAGACGCAAGAAAACGGCTAGGTCTTGGCTGATCAGCATCCAACATCACCATTTCAACCTGCAGTTTTCCACCAATTCGCCCAGTAGCATCAAAATAGGCGAGCCGGGTCAGCGCCTGTCGCAACAGAAGTGCGCCCAAGTCCGCATCCTCATAGCGCCTAGGCGGGGCGGCGCGTCCGCGTGCTGTGATGGCACCGAGTCACCGAAACTGCAAGGGATCCGAAGTCATTTCGTGAAGGATCCGAGTCACATGAAACAACATACATACGAACCCGTGACCCATTTCATGGAATTAGTGGTATATATGGGAAGAGTGACAGAAAGCGAGTGAGCACCACTCAGTCATAACTGGCTGTTTACTACCAAAGCTTGTGGGCTGTGCTGCTCGCCACGGCACTGCCGGCTGAAGGCTTTCAGGACCTGGGCGCTGACATGGCACAACAGTGAGCCAAGTGAACCAACCAGGACCAATCAGCCATGACAACCATGAGCTTAAAAGCCTTCCCAACCTCCATCCACCTCCCTACCTTTCTTCCACAAACAGACCCGACCTACCAGTCCCCCACCTATCACCTTCAGCTTGTAGCCAATCCCATCCTCCCTCCCGATCACCGGCATGTTCACCAGTGCCTTCGTCAGATCCCTTGGCGCCAGCTCAAGGACCAGCTCCCGCGCACGGTGCGCCAAGCCCGGCAGCAAGGTCACGGCACCTGAAGGGCCGGTTCCGGAGCTGCTGCGCTTCCGCGGCAGCTCACCCCGCTGCGGTGCCCAAGGAGGTCTTTGATTGAGTCGTTTCAGCGAAGCACATCGATCGTTCGGCAAGGTTGCGATCGTTCGAGTCATCTCAGAATTGTTCAGATGATTTGGCACAAGCCTTCCAGGTGGATTGGCCCCCTTTTTGTTCCCCACTCTCCGTGGACAAAGAAGCTTTGATGTGATTTTTTTATATATAAAGCTTTATGTTTAGACCTTGGACGACATTCCCCAACACCGCCCACGCCCCCGCCGTCTCCGCGGGCGACGGCGTTGCACGCACGCCCCAGCTGCGCAGCATCCATGATCTCGGCCGGCGGCAGCGCCATGGTGGGCAAGGCTGGGCCCTTCGTTGACGGCCATCGGAAGAACCGAGAGAGACGGGAGGGACGGAAGGGACGACCCAGTGGAGCAAGAAAGCCTTTTGAAAAAGAGCTCGGACACCGGTCACACATGCACGACCCAGTTCAAAATTGGTTCGTGATGCATCATGATCCAAAACTCGATGGATTCTAGCCTTGGGCTGTAGGGCTGTAATGCCGTCAAGGTTCATTCATTCACACCAAAGAGTTCAAAGAACGCACCACTGACCCAAGCCGTCCAATGTCCATGTTTCAACATGTTTCAACACCTCTCTCCATATTTCACGGTGTATTCTTGAAGGTGTCCAATGATCGCTGACGATGCGTGAAGCTCTCTCCAAATCCTCACCTCCGGACACGCAAAATACAACGCCTCAACAGGTCACTCCGGATCATCGCGTCAGTTTCGTCTATTCTGTTCATGCTCGGTGTTCTGGCCCTGGGTGGGTGTCCCGGGTGCTGTGGGGGGCCCACTCTTCGCAGCTGCGCCACCAAAAGAATGGCATCCGGCTCGCGCAGCTTCGGCGCCCGCCGCAGCTTCGGCGGCGGCAGCATCACCTGGGAGGTGGGCGGTGGTGGGGGCCTTCGGGGCTGATTCTTAGAAGCAGGGGACTGGGTTTGGAAAAGGGTCTAGGGTCTAGCCGGTCTAGCTGGCAGATCAAAAACCTGGAGCACGGCCAGTGAATCCAGCGAGCTGTAGTCAATCCGTCCCGTTCGTTCTTCATTTGGAGCCACGAAAATCTCCATGCCGAGAGGCCAAATCCGGGTTGCGGCCTTCCCTGCGTGCCTGGAAGAAACATATGGGGAAAGGATGGGAAAGGTGTCAATTCCATCTGTTTCATCTGTCCGTTTGTGGCCTTGAAGGCCTTTCAAAGCAAAAGATGTTCGCTCTACCAACTTCAATCTCTTTGTATATGGTCACTGTATGTTTGGCATAGCTGCATATATAACTGCATAGCTGAATGAACGGCTTGGGGTTGAGGATTGAGACGCCTTCCACGTGGTCTCAGATCGTCCGCCATGGACCCTTTGGTCCCCTTAGGGGCTCGTCACAAGCTCCATCACCGGTGCATGGCTGCAAAAACCCGCCTGTGCGCGGAGCTTCTGAAGCTCATTCTTCTCGCGCTTGTTGAGGGCCTATGCTGCTCCCAATGGGCCCACACATCCACAAAGGCATCAAGCTGGAGGCCATTGCGTGGAGGCCACTTGATCTACTCAGATCGATCCAGGGACCCATTCATCCCACAGCTTCTGCACCTGCCAGCTAGTAGCTAGCAGCTAGCAGGCATGTGGAGAACTTGGGGGCATCATATGCGGCCCATCTGATGCACACCGAGTCCTTAGTTAATTCATGGTTAATCCCCATTCAAGGCCCCAAATCATCCGTGATGCCCACCATGGTCCGCACCATGCCCCCCCCTTCGCCTCACCCCCAGGCGGGCCATGCTTCTGGTAGCCGCCCTGCACCGGCGCCCGCTCCGACAGGCCAGTGATGACCCACCTGACTCGGACTGCGAGCGTCGTCGCAGCCGAAAACGGCGACGGTTTGGAGACAGGGCGACGCGGCGGTGCCCACGCAACAGCCGTGGTTTTGTCCCTGAAAAAGGATCCACTTCACGTGTCTGCAGCACGGTGGAATTCAACAAACTTGTTCCCGACCAGCTGATTCTTCATCGAGGGGCTGTTGCACTTTCCTCCTTGGCTTCGGGATGCGTGACATGCCATGGGAACAGCTGCTGCCAAAGTGAGTAGGTCTCCTTCAAGAATCCGGTTGCTACTTGCATTTGTCACACGCTCCAAGTACCTCTCTTGCATCATGTTGCATCTCTGGACCTGGCTCTCCTCCCTGCCAAATACGCCAGAACCACCGCCTACACATGGCCTGTCGCAAACCAAAAAGCGCCTAGACTCAGCCAAAATACCGCTTAGTCTGTTTACAAAGCGTCTGTTTACCTCACTTCATGCCCTCCTTCGTTTTAACAATTGAGCCATGGCTGCCGGGCTGCTCACACATGAAAGGTAACAAAACAATGCGCACCGGGTTCCGCACCCGCCAAAAGACTGACCTAATCAAGTAGGGCCCAGGGGCCAACCTAAGGTCACAAAACCCCAACCTCGGATCTCAATCTCCGGCCGTCTCGGGGCATTTTCCACCTCGCTCGGAACTTGAAACCAATGATTCAATGGAACTGCCTGGCCCGGCCAGGCTGCACTCGAAACGATCGAGCAGAGTCTGTCCCAGAATCCTCTTGAGCTTGACTTGACCCTTTTCGGCCAACCGGCCTAGCCATTGAAATTCACTTGAGTCTCTAATTCTTGCTTGATCGGAATGGAATGTGATAGTCTGTTGTTCAAGAGGAGGACGTGTTGAGATATTTTACACGGAAGCTAGGCCGCCACCTTGTCGATAATCACCGGCATCTTCCCTTTCCATTGCGCCCACAGGTCGGGCTTCCTCATCTGCTCAGCTGCGAGCTGGTTTGCATGCTTCCCACAAGGCCACAACCCCATTCCCAGGCATCGTTCCGTACTAGTTATAGTTTTTTTATACAATGGTCTATCTTCGATGCACATTGATCCCAGAGATTAGGATTGGAATCCATCGGGTCTGTTGAAACTAGGGTTGAAACCTGTTGAAAGGAATTGAAAGACCACACGCAGTGTCAGATGTACAAGCTCAAACCTGTTGTCATCCAAGTCCTAAGGAAGGATTCAAAACAAGTCGTCAAGGCCATGAATCTCTTGCCACCGACCTGGGTTCCCCCCCGTCAACCATGGCCGAATATGATGAACATAGACATAAACCAATGCAACCTTGTTTGGGGCATGTTCCACTCAAATTCTCCTCTTCATCCTCCCAACTTCCAAACCAACCAACCAACCAACCAACCAACCAACCAACCAGCCAACCAGCCAACCAGCCAACCAGCCAACCAGCCAACCAGCCAACCAGCCAACCAGCCAACCA